CCCTACTCCTCCCCGCCTGGGACCCCACCCCTTCACCGCCTGGGGCCCCCACCCTGCAGTATATATTCTCGCACAACTTTCATTACAAAAACTTTCTTTTACATTCAATAAACTGATGCTTCCCTTCAAAGCTTACATTAAATTGACTGTTTTCTTGGCGTTGGGAAACGTTAGGAGGACGGGCTGGATGGTTATCTTGAGGGAGGCATGGAGGGGGGCGCGGCAGTGTGCGCGGGGCAGAGTGGCAGACGACAGGTAGCCTAGGCTTGACCTACAGTGTGCTGCAGCCGCCGCCACCGACCGCGAACGACGGACGCTACAGGTACGCGGTATTACTTAAGATAGGACTGTAGCCTCTATATAGTTTAGATGGTAAATGGGTTATTTAAAGGCAATTGAGAAAGTATAATTCATTAATTTTTATTGCGGTGGAGTTTCATTTTGGTGGGGGTGGAGTGACGGTTGTCGAGCGTGGTGTGTAGGCTCAAGGGCATGGACTGAGCATGTGGTGTGTAGGCTCAAGGGCATGGACTGAGCATGTGGTGTGTAGGCTCAAGGGCATGGACTGAGCATGTGGTGTGTAGGCTCAAGGGCATGGACTGAGCATGTGGTGTGTAGGCTCAAGGGCATGGACTGAGCATGTGGTGTGTAGGCTCAAGGGCATGGACCCATGCCTCTTTAGTAGGAGAGTTTAATGCCATTGTTAATGCCTATAGAAAGGAGCAGTGAATTGCACATCGCAATTCAAGACTTGAAAAACAACAATAACACTCCCAGAAGTCAAGAGAGCTGTGAAAATAGTATTAATAACAGAAGGGGTCATTGAGTTCATGCACCTGTGTATACATGCAGGGAGTGGTTGAGCTTCGGCGCTTTGACCCTGCCTCTCGTGTGTCAGTCAACTAACATACAGGGTCCTGAACATGTGTATGAAGTCTCCCTCTACCACCTCACTTAGTGTATTCCAGTTTTTCGCTACTCTGATACTGAAAAGTTTCCCTCCAATGTGTCTGTGGGTCATTGGGTTGTGTTGTGAGGGTGCTGGAGGAGACCGTATTCCTAACATCATCCCAAAATACTTGTACAAATCAGAGGTATCATCGGGCAAAAACGTCGTGACAGTGATATTGAGAATAGAATGATAAAAAGAGTAGGTGAATTTCTTCTCTAGTAGAAGGTAGTTACAGCCGATGTAACTTAATCATTACGAACGAAAAGCAGGAGTTATTAAAATAACTGGAATCTAGTTATTAAAAATAACTAGAATTCGTCTGGCGATTCAGGATGGAAGAATTGAGAGGCGTTGGAGAAGTTTGGGTGCAGAAAATACACCGGGATCACTATCTGAGAAACTGTGCCTACCTATAGGAGGCATTATATAATATTCGTGTAGTATATTATATCCCACATTGTTCGAGTTAGGGTAGAACTATTTGTCAAATATAAATACCATTCTTAAGCTATTGTTAAAGATGGTTAAATGCTAATCTCCTTGTTTGACGAGTTGTTCACTTGAGCCAGTTATGCAAGTCAGCTGTGTCTGGGTATAGCGGGTTTTATTCCTATTGGTACCGTGCATGCTACTATGGCGATATGTTTACTCACAATGAATGACGACGATTCGATTCGACCAATCGATTCTACCTTTCAAGCAAATTAAAAATAAAAAATAAAAATATCGTGCTTTGGCCCCACGTACACACCCTACCCCTCCCCCCAATCCCCCTGAAACCACCTACATCCTCCACTATATGAAAAAAACGCTGATTTCACGTCACTCAAGCAGCCCGCAGGCGCAGCTCCGGCTCACATTATCAAAGATACCAATATTTATAACTGTCCACAAGGTTACATTATCTCACCGTGCACACTGGTGCAGGCGCGCCTGTACTCGTGTTCATTATCAGGGATGCTTCAACCAGTAGATGAAACGTTAATAACATGGTAAAATTGTTTGACCTAAATAAAATACCGGATTGGCAGAATGGAACCAGCTTTCTCAGCCAGGTGACCCCCATACTAAGAAACTGTGGCAGTGGGTGTGAGACGGGGAAGCGACAGGCCGCCCTCACGTACCGCTCCTAACATTTGTGCATGTTACTCATATGGCTGAATAAAATTACCTTGGATGTTGTATATACACACGGACACTCATTACATCATTGCATTTTTTAGTGAAAAAAATTGAGTTATTTAGCAATAAATCTCAATATACGTACGTGTGCATGAAATGCTAAATCATATTATTAATGACAAAATATCTGACGTTCTTGCACCAAGTCTATGTTTCGCTTCAAGTAGATCAAGAAATACACGTATATATATATACACACATAATGACTTAAATTGATGGGGAGACCCCTGGCGGCCTGGGGATCATAGAGTTGAAGTGATATATGTATTTTAGGACCATTCAAGCTTTCCTATATATATATATATATATATATATATATATATATATATATATATATATATATATATATATATTTAATATATAAAATAAAGCTCACGAGCAGCAACTACCTCGGAATATTTAATTTTTTAAATTATTTTAAGTATTAACAAAATAACAAATATAATATATAATAAGATTTCGTAATTTATAGGAAGGGAAGGGAATTATGGGAATTATCAAGGGAAAGCTGCAAGCCATTACGACTATAGCGCTGGTTAAGCGCAGGTTAGGAGTAAGGTTAAGGATTTGGGATGGGACGGGGGGAAAGGAAAGGTGCCCAACTACTTGGACGGTCGGGGATTGAACGCCGACGTGCATGAAACAGGACCAGCCCAAGTGGTTGGAGAAGCTGCTATGATTTTTTCATTATCTATGATTCAAATAATTACAAGGTGTGCAGATGGCTTGTAAAAGTCTTTGTCAAATATCCGACGAGGTCTGGATAAGATGTGTGTCCTCTGTGCCTAATGTGATTGTTTTCTGCTACCGCTCACAGGATGAGTATGGGAAATTGAAATAAGTTTATTGAGGTAAAATACACACAAAGGGATGAGGTAGCTCAAGCTATTCTCACCCCGTTCAGTACATCGTGTTAATACATACATACAACCGGGCTGTGGTGGGTATGTGGGCCTGCGGGCCGCTCCAAGCAACAGCCTGGTGGACCAAACTCTCACAAGTCGAGCCTGGCCTCGGGCCGGGCTTGGGGAGTAGAAGAACTCCCAGAACCCCATCAACCAGGTATCAACCAGGTATCACACATCACAAGCAATAAACGTATTACCGAACATTCTAAGAGATAAACATATACATTTCCTCCTTCACAAGTAGTATGGTATCAGACGTACACAAATACTTTTATGACCTAGGTATACTGTATAGACAATTTGCAAGAGACATGCAGATAATTCAACAAAAGATTACAGTCTTGGTGCAAAATTCTTATATCTCTCAAGAATATTATCAACCTTTCCTTTGTGACACATCCAGGCTATTTGTTCAGGAACAGTCCTTATCTCAGTGTTTCTATATACATTAATCAACGGACAATCAAGAACATAATGGGCAAGGGTGTGAGATCTTAACATACCACATAGTTTACACCTCGTGTCATTATCATGAACACCTATCCCATATTCCCAGTAATATTTGTACCCAAGCCTGAGCCGCATGTACACAGTCACTCCAAGCATTTCTCCTTTTACCATAAGTGAAATGGGTGTTTTGACTCACATACATGTAGTGTTGCATGGTTTGACTTCTCTCATACATTATCTCTCTCCTCTCCACTCCTGCCTGTGCCTGAATATTTCTGATTTTGCTTCTTATTTGTCTCATTGTGAATTCACATTCAATGTCAACTTGTGGTTTTGATGTGGCACGTTTGGCCAAGTCATATGAGTATGGGGTGCACAATAAACTACCGCTCACAGGATGATAGGGGTGCACAATAAACTACCGCTCACAGGATGAGTATGGGGTGCTCAATAAACTACCACTCATAGGATGAGTATGAGGTACACAAACTACCGTTCACAGGATGAGTATGGGGTGCTCAATAAACTACCACTCACAGGATGAGTATGGGGTGCACAATAAACTACCACTCAGGATGAGTATGGGGTGCACAATAAACTAGCCGCCGCTGACGGGAACCCCCAAACATTGATTAAGTTCGAACAATTACTAGAGGTTGTTGGACTTTTAAGTCCATTACTAACCAATAATTACCACCACGGGTATTAAGGGATATATATATATAGCCTATTACATGAACAGCGTAGCCAGATTTTAGGTGTATACACCCTGAGAATTGACTTTAATTCTGTACTATATCCAGGAGCATATTTCCTGGTCGGGCATCAAGCCTGGTCACCTAGCTAGCATGATACTTTTTATATATAAAGTATGAGGTATATTTATGGACGAAGGAGTGGAGCTTTAGCTCTTGAGCTCTGCTTCTTTACTGTTAATCTTATGACGTATTAAACATTTCAGAAACTGTTGGAATTAAAAACAAAATTATAACCTAGGCTCCTTGCTGTTATAGATGAATTGGCTGAACATTTTGTTCTTTGGAATTTAAGGTTTCAGGGATTACTAATTTAATAATATTTTAATTCATTTGATTACACCAAAGATAAAAAATGAACCCAGTTGGTACAATATCCAAGAGCAACGTTGAATCACCCGTATCAACGTTAATTCAACGTTGAATTAACCTTGAATCAACGTTGAATCAACGTCTATTCAACGTTGAATCAATGTCTATAACATTGATTCAACGTCTATAACATTGATTCGACGCCGTACTGACGTTACTCTTGGATATGTGCCTTTACCGTGTTAAAGAACAAATACTAGGTAAATAATTAACATATCAATTAAAATGGACTTGAAACACTGTTAGTCATAAATACAGTAACATGAAAACATTAATTTCCAAATACATATACTCAGTAGAGTACTTGTTGCAAACCTGGCGAGGACTGGCATCCGTACGAGCGAGAGGTGCCAACAACATCAAAACAAAGCGAGATAAACGTCAGTGTGTGGCGAGCCTCAGTGCGGGTGAGAGCACGGCGCCGGTCTCTTTTATATTAAGATGTTCGCCTGCTCTCAGCTCTACAGACGGTTTAGCACCTCCCAGGTAATTAAACCCAATGGAGGGGTAATCCTCGCAGATTTTATTATTATGGAGTTGATATGATAGGTGGATGAAAGCGACAGCTGTGAAGAGTGGTGGTAGGAGCAACTGCATGCATGTCTGCCGGGGGAAGCTTGCAAAGGGGAACAAACACTCAAGTATAACTAAATTAGTGCTTACAAATTAGCGTGTTGAATGGAGTATAGTGGATATGGGCGCTGACGTGACAGTAAACATAGAGTTAATATAAATATAAGTTTTTCTTGCACCAATTTGTTTGGGTATGTATGTTTAAATTGTTTATTTTTTTATTATTAACAATCTCAGGTAGACACAGCAATGTGCTGCTGCCCTATTCTATATGAAAGATTACACAGTGTAGATAAGCTAGCTTTTAAGTTCATCTAATATTTCCACGTCACAGGTTGGTTAGTCATACATGGAATCAGGAGAGAAAATAGCTGCCTCAATACAAAAAATAAATATAATTTGACTAAATATTAACTACGCATGATTTTCAGAAGAGCTAAACACTGAATCATGGAAATATTATAATTATTTGTTACCAGTTTCTATAAATTTAAATCATCGTTCTTGTTGTATTGATAAATCTTATTTCTAACTTGTCTAGATAATATCAGGAGTGCCATTTCCAGAACCACGTGGTAAAGAAACAGGTGATTGGTTTATAAACCCTGAGTATACAGACTTTAATCTGTATACTCGGATTAAAGTCTGTATACACACACACACACACACACACACACACACACACGTGTGTATGTGTGTGTGTGTGTTGTTGCGAGTGGGGAGGAGCCGTGTAGCCCGGGCTATATGTAACTTATGCTTGGAGCTGGTGTGTCTGGCTGTGCTTCAATCCCGCCTCATCATCGCACCAAATGACCGACGTTCATACGGGTGATATGAATTGCAGAAGCTGTATCAGTTCAAGGACTTCAGTTCATTTAGTGCTAAAGAGTCATGCATGTATATAGTTTGTCGGTATCACTTACCTGAGGGGCCACTATATCTCTAGTGGCCTTGACGAGGACAGGAAGCCGGCGGCTTGTCATAGGTCCTCAACCCCATTTGTCCTGATAAGTTTATCGAGCTTGAATATGTAATTCAGCAGTGTTTCCGGCGGGTTCCACTGGTTTATAACCATATGGTTGATTAGGATCAAGATTACTCTCTACCTGGGAGAGGTGAAATACACGTTTTGAACATACAATACTTACCTAATTACAGCCTCAGGTGGTAAATGACATTTACATAACAGATCGCAAGCTAGCAGATGTTCGTCTTCTTTATGGTATACGCGCAGTTTGTGTGAAGAGCATGTGTCACGCAGAAGATCTATCTGTCTGGGATCTGTTAAGGGTCCCGGGTAGTACAGTCGGGTTCGTTCTCGACGCACAACCTAGAATTCCGGGTGGGATAGAAATGGTTGGGCACATCTCCTTTCACCTAATGCCACTGTTCACCTAGCAGTGAGTAGGTACTCGGGAGTTAGCCAGCTGCTTGTGGGGTTGCATCCTGGGCGTGGGTCAGTAATTCAGCCTTGCAGGAGGGGGGGGGGGCCTCGATAAAACGCCAAACGTGTATGAATACACTCTGGCTTCCTGTCACTCGACACGGTGAATTAATTATTACAAGACAATTTTCGGACGTCATTTAACACCTGGGGATGGAATTAGATAAGTAACAGATGTTCAATTTTATACTGACGCATAGTTCAAATGTTCCTAATTTAATTGTTGGCTCCATATTTCACCAGCGTCTATGTAAATTATACAATAAAGTACTATTTTTAATATCTAAACACGCATTTGATAACTAATCGACTCTTCAGCAAGAGGTCCAGTGGATGAGGTTAACGTTAGTGAAGTTAAGCACTGTCGGGTGTGGCTAGTAACTTAACGGGTGACCGCTTAGACAGCTTGGCCCTTAGTTAAGGGGACAGATAAGATTAACACTTCCTGTCCCAGACATTGTCATACCAGTATTCCATTACTGTAGTGCTCATTAATGCATAGACGTCTCTCGATAATCAATCTCGGCTGCTTTAAACTCAACCAGTCTCTTTAATAACCTGGTTCTGTCCCATATTGATTACCGAATGCGCTACAGAACTGGCGAGTTAGCTGAAGCATATGCTATTGATTTTCACCTTTGATATGAGGAATGAACAGCTGGCCTGAGGGCAGTAACATACTAATGGCTCCAACAAAATAGAATAAACCTTAGACAAAGATAAATCTAAACATGCTATTCCGTCACAATACTACTATACAGGAAGATCCACATACTGACGGGCCATCCTATGTGAACACACTTGTGTACACTGCTAGGCTACAAGTACCTTTGGGCGTTACCACCACCTGCTGATGTAGATCTCATCACACACGCAACCCATGAATCTGAAAATGAAGAATTAGCAACGTTTTGGTCTGCCCTGATTTATTATTAAGTGTAATTGAAAGAAAAAGAGTAATAGAGAGTCAATTTAAGGTTAGAGTGTTAAATGATAGGAAAAGACAGTATGATAAGCCAGATAGCGTCAGTTTGGTTACTGTAGGTAGTGCATGCACACGGTTGTAAGTTTTCCACCGCCGCCCACTGGATGGTTGAGGGTGCATGACAACTTTCAGAATTATTTGTAACCACTTAAATTTAAATTGATAAGTTTGTAGATTTTTGTGGTCTGGTTCTTAAAACCATTATGCTATAAAGCACTGTTGATATATACATTAAACTATAGCTTATGACTAACTTAGTTAGCCAAATGTATTTGGGGCTGTAGTGCCCGAGTCCATTATGTGCCTTTGTTCATAAGAAATGAACCAAATAAAAAAATCTTTCTGTGGCTATTATAAAGCGACGAAAATAAGACGAACCTTGCCTTGTCATAGTTTGGCTGGGTGTATGTGTTGGGAGGGTCGAGGAGACTACAAAATTATGCCTTGAATGTAATAAGTTTCCGTGGAATAATTTTATTCAAGTACTAGAGAAGAGTGTGACGAGAAAAAGAACGGTTGTAGTGCAGCCGCTAATAGGGCGGATGGAATGGCTGTCACATTAAACAAAGTAAAAATAAAGTAGAATGGTTGTTTACTTCTCCACAGTGAAGGAACTGCAGGATAAAGCATAAAAAAATAAATTTAAATACTTTATTATGGAAAAAATGACTAACAAATACAATAAAAATAGCTCCTTCTAGACTTGGCAATATTACAATGTGCAAAATAAGCAAAATCATCAAACAGACCAGTTAACGTTAAAGTACAAACAATAAAATGATACTATATGCAGGAATACTATATGCCAGGCTGCGTAAATCTACTACCACCCAGAGTCGTATGTTAGCACATCCAGGCAGTTGAGCACGGAGGAGTATTCTGAACCGTGGTGGTGGCTGGCTTCTATTTATATGGGAGCTGGACCAAGGCAGGTGGCGCTGGTGTCTTCGATAATTGGAGGCCGGCTCTCAAACTACCATTGCCCTTGTTCCTGGTCGGTGGCGTGAGCTCCCAGCCACCAGGTGCAATGGGGTGACGGGCATTGGAGTGTAGGGAAGGAGGGGGGAGTGGACTACTGTCTAGACGAGTAGTAGTTGTTGCTCTTGCTGTAAATTCTTGAATATGCAGACGTGGTGTGTGGTAGAATAGGTGATGATGGAGCAGGCCTAATCTCTTCCTAGAGAGATTACCGTGACATGAGGTTTTCATCCTCTCTTAGGAAATGTATTTATGTGGCTTTCTCAATACGTGTATATAAATGAGATTTATTTTTCCAATTAATTTTAATATTAATTTCTTACGCAACATTTTGTAGTTAGTTTTAATTACTGATGATTTAGAGTTTACGTTTCTTTTCGTAAATATTTATTTGATGGCTATTATCTTAGTGGTCGCGGTGAAGTCTTAATTAATGCGGTTTTGGCATGTAAGCTATTCCATAACTAGGTATGTTTTACTCGCTAGAAGAAAAAATAGGCTACCTCTAGCTATGTAGCCTGTTCAATATCTTAAATATCCGAGGTGTGTCCTGTCGTGTTGTTTAAAGTCATCAGCCCTGTTGTGTTTACCCTTGATTAATTACAACGTCTTAAACTTTGTCAAGGCCAACTCATATATGGTTAATGGTCCCGGTAGCGTTGTTAATTTTGGCATTCATATATTATAATTTTATAAATTTAGTTACATTTATAAAAAGAGAAACAAAACGAGTGTTCAAAGATTGGAATCAAGCACAGTTGCAAGTCACGGAGGGCATCGCACTAGAGGAGGCTGACCTTGGTGAGCAGGACCGGGACCGGTTTGACACGGCGCCACAACATGCTGTCTGAGGCACCATTGTTAAGTAAGTGCTCCACAGCTGCCTCTCTGCCAGCCAGACAGCTGGGGGAGAGTGCTCCATTATTGCCTCCAGACAGCTGCATCCCTCGCCATCCAGACAGCTGATGGAGAGTGCTCCACTATTGCCTCCAGACAGCTGGTGGAGAGTGCTCCACTATTGCCTCCAGACAGCTGGTGGAGAGTGCTCCACTATTGCCTCCAGACAGCTGGTGGAGAGTGCTCCACTATTGCCTCCAGACAGCTGGTGGAGAGTGCTCCACTATTGCCTCCAGACAGCTGGTGGAGAGTGCTCCACTATTGCCTCCAGACAGCTGCATCCCTCACTATCCAGACAGCTAGAGGATAGTGATCCACTGTTTCCTCCTCGTTAGCTGCATAATTCGCCATCCAGACAGCTGGTGGAGAATACTCCACTGTTGCCTCCTAGCCAGCTGCATCCTTCGTTATCCAGATAAATGGCGGAGATAGCTTTATACCACTTGCATCAAGTTAGTACCCTAAAGGAACGACGGTCTTGTGTTATGAAAAGTGGTCATATGAGACGAGAGCCACAGAAAGTGCTTGTGTAGTCAGTGCCTGACAAGTAACTGAAGAATTAAAACACATTTAAGCGAACAGGAACCGAGGGCGACAATAACACGAGGACGCGACTGCAAGAAAAACTTAGTGAAAACTTGCAGGGATTTTCCGTGGAGTTTTGGTCAGTAAAATATGCAGCCCGTTCTCGCCAGCGTTCCCAACGTTAAGAAACTGCTACTAAACCGCCTTATCCTAACCTGCCAGAGGACCCATGAACAGAAAACGGGATATTGTCAAATTCACGGGCCGCTATAATTTTCTAGTACAACAGTTTTTGGTCTTGGGTAAAATTTATAATACTAAATTAATAAATAATTAATACTAAATTTGTTATAAATCAGTACCAAATTAATAACATTACCTTGCTGCAGATTGATGAAGAAAAGGACCTTAGTCAGGATTGTGCCATAGGCACAATCAGAGAACACTGTATGAACATCAGAGGTCTGCGGTTGTTCAACGTCCTACCAGCGAGCATCAGAAATATTACAGGAACAACCGTGGACATCTTCAATAGGAAACTAGATTGTTTCCTTCAAGGAGTGCCGGACCAACCGGGCTGTGGTGGGTATGTGGGCCTGCGGGCCGCTCCAAGCAACAGCCTGGTGGACCAAACTCTCACAAGTCAAGCCTGGCCTCGGGCCGGGCTTGGGGAGTAGAAGAACTCCCAGAACCCCATCAACCAGGATCCACTATTCATTGAAAGCTGCACAACAGGTGGGAGCGGCAGTAAAACAAGCTCACCAAACACTAGGAATAATTAAGCGTACCTTTTGCCTTTAAGGAACAGAAGGTAGTTATTCAACTGTATATACCTCTGGTATGCCCGCCACTTGGATTATTGTATCCAAGTATGGAGACTTCAGAAAGACATGGCTGCTTTGGAGAAAGTTCAACACCAGGCCACAAAAGTCATGCTAGAAACTCACCAGGGACGGTTGATTGCTTCAGGGTTAACAATGCAAACCAGACATAACAGGACGGAGCTCATCAAAACTTTTAAAATGCAACACTGAGAAATTTGGAGGATGTTGAGTCACACAATTTCTTCAAAAGTTCAGATGTCACACTAACAAGGAGCCATGGCTTCAAGCTCAACAAGCCACAATGTAGGACTGAGAACAGATTCTTTTTCACCCATAGGGGCATAAATCCATGGAACTACCTACCTGGCGAAGCCATAAGTGCCAAAACTGCTGAACGTTATATCCAGCTGGAAAAATCTAAGACCAGCAGGGCTGACTAGGAAGTGACTGGTAGGTGGCGAGCCAATAATTTGCAATATTGCCTGACAGTTTTATGTGATCATGACATTTGAACTTAGAGCTGTCTAGCACAATAATGATGTGATATGCATGCATATACTGTATACATAAATATATACACTGTATTATATATATTATATGTATGTATGTATTTTGCAGTTACATTATTATTATAGTTGAAATAGGCAAGCCGAGAGAGGTCAGGTCTATTTACTTCATATAGTACTAGGATCTATTTGCTTTATACAGTACCTAGCAGTGCTCCAGATAGTCTTCTTAACCATCATTCCCCATTCCACACATCTTCTTGTCCCCTCTCCCCACATCCCCCATCCCCTCCCCCCTTTTTCCCAATTCCCTCCCCCCCCCCCCCCCCTCCCATCTTCCTCATATCCCCCACACACCCCCCCTCTTCCCACTGATCTTGAACTGATAAGCATTTCCTTTTATATATAAAGTTAATAATGTAAGTGCATGGGTAAGCAAATAACTTCAACCCTCTATGAGAAAACACATTCTAATATAATTTGTCTTCATTAAAATTGCATCGGGAAGGAAGGGGGGGGCAGTGGTTATAGGCTGTATTTTATAAAGTATTTAACTTAGTCTTACCCAGACCAGCCTGACTAGCCTATGTCCACCCCATACCCAAGACCATTGCCCCCTACAAATTTAGGCGAGGCTAACCCCTTGGGTCAGGTCTCCAACTTTGGACAGACAAACAGACACTCTCTGATAATTTATGAGTATGCATTTCCTTGTGTTAATTATTTATAAGTCATGACATAGTGATTATCAATGAGACTGATCATCGATCCGTTCTTGTGACCAATGATATATGAAATATGTGATTACTCTGGTTTACTGTCATTTATTCTTATGCATAACACATGTTTTTTACTGACTACTATTAATCATTCAGAACTTAATGTTTATAATGCACGAGTGTGAGTAAGGGGACTGATCAAGTTTACTTTCTAATATGGTTTCCTACAAGCCACAATGTACGATTGAAAATAGGAGATGCTTTTTCACCCACAGGGTTATAAACTCGTGGAACTGCCTACTCGCCAAAGCCGTAACTTCCAAAACTCTTATCCTTTTCCAGCTGTACTTTTAAAGTTAAGGCAAATGGGGGGGGACCTTCGACAAGCCGCTGGCTTCCTGTCCTCGTTAAGGCCACTAGTGTTAGTGGCTCTCGTCTTAAACAGGTAAAATGATTCATGTTCCTTAATATGATGAGACAATGAGTGTTATAGTAAATGCTAGTTTGTAACAGTCCGAATATTGTAGCCTCATACAGCCAGGTAAAAAATCAAAGCATCATCGTGTGAATTTTTTTTTCAGAAGGAATAATTATTACATGTGGAATCGTATGTTCTGCTTATATAGGTAAACAATATATAAATTTCTTTTTTTTTTTTTTTGGGGTGGGAATGGAGGGATGCAAAGTGGTGATTTTTCATGCTAAAGGAAATGCTATTTTTTTTTTTCTCTTGGTAAACATTTTTAATTTTTAATACATTCTGAGTTCAGTTGCAGGTTTGGTAATCCACTTTGAGGGATTCTAATTGTCAATAAAGAAAGCATGGAGGGTGTCTGTGCGAGGATTGGGGAGGTTTAACCTAAGCATCTTGATAGAAATTATATTAAAGCTTTGATTTCAGTTATTTGATCACTTACACAAGGAATATTAAATTCCGTCTTTATGTTTAATAACTTAATCATGAGGCCATCTGAGGATGATCCTCATGGCCACGTTTTGCATCTTTAACATCCCTCCAAGCATTCTTTAAGAGTCAAGAGCAAGCATGGGTGCTGCTTATCAGTTAAGGTTCTAAAACTATATGAAAGGTACTGAATATAATTTTTGCAGATTTGCAGTATGTGATGGCTTGGATTACACTTTTAATTTGGAGCAGCTGCACATTGTGTTTTTCTGGGGAAGAAGTGAAAAGACCCATTCTGGTACATAAATTTTGATTAAAAGTGAATAAAGTAACATGAAATTGATAATAAACAAGCAGAAGACAATTAACATGATGTGGCTGAATAGTATTTAATACTGCATAAGGATTTATGTACAGTAGTGAGGCACACACAGAGACGAGACGAAAATAAAGTCCCAAGGTTTCTCTGAGAAGGAGTCTAGTAAATATACAGTGACAAAGACGGGTGAAGTAACAGTAGCAGAAAGAAGTACACAAAGGTATGACATTTAAGGGTGAAGGACTGCCTCCTAAGAAACCACTCAAACAGACTTAACGGGAGGATGAATTAATGACCCCCCACCCCACCAAATAGGATGCACTAAAAGGAGGGACCAACCATGAGCACTTGTCGGCACATCATACAACCGAACACGCAGAACCAGAACCAGCCCTGAAGCAAATTAAAATAATTATTCACCAAATCATGGAAATATTAATGTTATAATATTTGTTATAACAGGTTACTATAATATTCCTTTCATCTTTCAATATGTTTTTGGGCTATATTCGATGTATTTTTTGGCATTTTTTTCTAGTTTTATTATATGCAACTGAGAAGGGTAATAAAATTAATTAAGTTCTGATGTACAATGATGGGCAACCATCTAAATATGGGTGATTTTCATATTTTCTTATTTAATTTCATGTTTTGTATTTTCATCTAATAAGATTCTGTTCTGTGTAGTGTATGGTAAATTAATGATGGTAACATTTAACATTACTGGTTTCTATATTTACAGAGCTTGCTAGACAGAATGAGGGTTGCTATCATTGGACAGTCGACATTTGCTGGGGAAGTATATAAACAGTTGATGAAAGATGGACACAAAATCGTGGGAGTGTTCACAATCCCTGACCAGGGCAACCGAGAAGATCCTCTTGGTAAGTTTATCCCGCTGTTATGGAAAAATCCCTGAAAATGTTTTCAACTGTGACAAATTTTCATAATTAAAAAATGATAAACTTCAGAAGTTTATCAAGTTTAGCTGCAATATTCAGTGCTAAAGAGTAGTTACTGCTTTAGAAATATTTCTTGGTAAGTTCAAAATTTTTGTATGAACTTGAGAGGTGCTTTACACTGTTACCAAGTATGTATGGTGCAAGACGCTATGCAAAAAGAAGTGATGATGTGATATCTGGATGTCTGGAAAAGATTTTGTGCCAATTATTCTAGATTTTGATACTAAAAAATGCAGCAGTCCTCATGTTTCATGGATTTTGAAAAATGCTAAAGAAATGAACCATTATTTATTGAAGATTTTATTGAAGATGCCTATATGTATTAGATATGCATGTAGATTAACATGTGCTGCACTAATAACTCGGCAAGTTGACACTAAACTCGGTTCCATATAACAGGTAGAATGTCCTCACCAGGCACATTGCCTTTGACTTTGTCATAACTATGGACATCTCCAACTGTTAGTTTGTGAGACGCATCTACCAGGGCCTCTACATCTTTGCTGCACTGCCGACTAGCCATCACTGACAGGGCAATACAGGATCTACATCTATCCAATGACACTCTTGTTGCTTTAACCAATCCTACTAGCTGCCTTGAGGCCTCTTCCCATCCTCAGTACCTTTAAACTGTACAACATCTGTCTACTACATCACTGTCTGATGTTCCAATGCAAGACTCTGTCCACATACTGCCTGCCTCTGGCATCAGACCTAGATGCTCCACCAGTGACCCAAGGAGAGAAAGAGAGAGAGGTATAATTATACAACATGGTATAATAATTGCAACCTGGAGTGCTACTGCACCACGATGATCCCGAGGCTTCCACTGAAGCCTAACCGGGGTTTCACACAATTCCGCCATGCACCCCGGGCTCTGTCAACCAGTAGCCTCTGACGCTCCTACTTCAGTACACAGAGAAATCATATACTGTAACGTGATATATCAAAGAACAAATCCACAGGAGCCTTGATGAGGGTTTGGGATTTTATTACTATGCAGAAATTAAGTGTTTCTTATTTCTTTTGAATAAAGTAAAATTTATGAAACTCTATTTTGGTAGGCCAGGTGTTTTATATTTTAGACCCTTTATGTACGTGGCATTTTTACCGAGATTGAGTTGAACTAGGGAAAATGTCAGAGGTACTTATTTATTGTGTTATACTGTATTCGTGGGTCCTATTTCATCCTTTTAATGAAAGATTCAAGTCTGAATTAACAATGTTATAAAACCATGTAGTGCTGTTATGTAAAGTATAATGGCACCATGCCTTGTAAATGCATTGACATCATACCTAATTATCACTAATATATCTATTTTTTTTTTAACACAGCAACTATGGCATCATCTGATGGTGTTAAAGTGTTCAAATTTAAGTCTTGGAGAAAGAAAGGTGTAGCGCTTCCAGAAGTGCTCGAACAATACTTATCAGTGGACCCTGAACTGAACGTGATGCCATTCTGCAGCCAGTTTATTCCCATGGAGGTAAATTTAGTTCAGTGTATATTTGCCTTAGAAACTTTTATCGTCATACATTTTGTATTTATTTGTTTTTGTTGAGTGTTTTGTTCTGTTGTTTACACTATTGTAGAAAATTCTAAGACTGCTGGATTTTCATTCTTGCCTCCTTAGTTTAATAGCAGTAGGTAGTTGCAGTTATTTTGCTATACACTGTACTCTTGCTTCTTGTGTATGGGTTATTGCTACATGTGCTGCTAAAAAAGATAAAATACATTTAGCATTTTTGTGACCTGCAGGTAATCAACTATCCCAAGAACAAATCTATTTGCTACCACCCATCCATCCTGCCCCGCCATCGTGGTGCATCCTCTATAAACTGGTAAAGACTTGGTTGCACCAAACATTTGCAATAGTTGCCTTCTGTATTAAGCTGTGGTAAATATAAGATTTATTGCAATAAATCTTAAGTAATCTTTTCAAGTAAGCCATTCAAGTTCAAGTAATAAGTTGAACTTGACTGTTTCTTGAACTTGGATTACTTGTACTCATTCAAGTTCAAGTAATCCATTCGATTCTTTCAAGTAATCCATTAATTGCCAGAAAAAATGTTTAAGTGGTTTTATCAAATTATCTCTAACCTTTGACTCCTTTCACATTGTCAAATCTTAGGAATGCAGTATACAGTACATCTTATGAATTTAAAAGTTAGCTTTATTTTTTTTTTGCTCTTATATCTCTGTATCCCATTGCAGCATCTTTATAAATAGAGAGAATGTTTCTAATGTGATATGACATTTAATGTATATAGTTTATAGATTCATAATCCTAGCTTGATTCCAGGACTCTGATGTGTGGAGATAAGAAAGGAGGATTTTCCATATTTTGGGCTGATGATGGTCTGGACACGGGACCTATCCTGTTGCAGAGGGAAGTGGAAGTTGATCCTAACGACACTGTTGATACGCTTTACAACAGATTTATGTACCCAGAGGGCATCAAGGCAATGGTGAGCTCTTGTTGCTGTTCAGTATTACTGAATAAGACCAAGGACTATTATATTAGAATTGGCCATTACTAAGATAAAATTGACCACTTAACAGTGTTTTACCTTATAAAAGAAACAAAATATAAGTTTGAATTCAGGTAATTATAGTTCCACATACATTCCACAGGTTAGCTGTGAAATGCAAGTGATCATTCATAAAGTTCCATCAACTCTATGCACTGTAGAAAAAATACCAAGTTTGAAGTAGACTTTATTGAAGATTGTTTGACTTGTGAGGGCTATACCAAATGTAACTTAGATACTCAAGATTAACTCCTTTTAAAGGGATAAAGTAGGTGAGGTGAAGATGTAATAATGCCAGACAAAGGAGGGATTAAGAATTCATGATATCTAATTTTATAGTAACAATTTAGGAAATTTAATGGAATTCTGAAATTTCACTGATTCTGTTTAGTGTAGTTTTTGATGGCTGCAGATATTTTACACTTCTATACCCTCTCATGATACCTCCAGGTGACAGTGTAGTGGAGGGACATCTGAATGTGGTGTCTCAGTCTTTAGTGGTTTAGTCCTTCCCCTTTCTGGAGTCTTGAGGACCTGCTCTACCAACTGCTCCTTTACTCTGCAATGTCATTCATGATTTGTTAGATGAAGGTGTGCTTGTGGTGACTGTCTTTGCAGAATGTGTCCTGCTTCTTCCCCATCCCTCAAGTAAGAAACTATTTAGCTTGCATTTATCTGAATCTATCTGTTATCAAGAGTAACCCATATTTACAGATGACCACTAGGATCCAAGTTTACCAGATGGTTTTGAGGGACTTGGCTTGCTTTCCCTGGGCCTTTGAGGTGCCTTCTAACTTTTCCCTATCCATCTGGAATTCAGGGATTGGCTGGGTTTAGAGTGGGATACTCAGTCTCTGCCATTTGGTCTGAATCTGGCACTCAGACTGACTTTTGCCTGGTCCTTTGACATTGTTGTCTGTTGGAGATCTCTGTTCTGGCTCATTTTCAACAACTGAATGGTATAGGCCCCCAGTCATTCAACTTGACTGCTGATCAAGGATCTGGTCCTTTTTCAGTTGGCCTGTTTTGGCTTTCTGGTCAACTGGCAGAAGTTCAAATTGGTGCCTTATTAGGTTTGGACTTGGTTGGACCTGGTCTGGGATGCAAAGACAGCTTCCACCACTGCTGAGGTTAACCCTATTGTGGCTGTGTCTCCATTGCTGGCTGGTTTTGGAGAGATCTCAGCTTTTCTATCAGGACCTTGAGTGCCTCTTGGCATACATAGCTTACACTCTTCCACACTGCTGAGGTTAACCCTATTGTGGCTGTGTCTCCATTGCTGGCTGGTTTTGGAGAGATCTCAGCTTTTCTATCAGGACCTTGAGTGCCTCTTGGCATACATAGCTGACACTCTGTACCATGTCTGGCTGATAGTGGTATTTTGTGTTCTCCATTGAGTATGCCTTACATTTGTCCTTTTAAAGTGGTGTATGTCCCACCTCACCTGTGGAGGATCATGATTCATCATTTTCCATTTATGGACTTTTTGGGGATTTGGTTCTATGGCAACCTCCAGTGTGTCTGTCTCAAGCTGATCATGAATATGTCAAACCAAAGCTAAGTGCCTGTCTATAGTTTCTGGTGCTTTGGTGTCTTATCTTCCACAATGTTTCATTCTGAACATTCATTTGAATTATGACCTGATGGTCCATTACTTCAACTTGGGTGGTTTGGTTTATTCCCCTTTTTCTATGGGATTGGATTTTGCTGATTGCCCGGCTTTTGACTTCTCAGGATCTTGTCCTCCAGGCAGTTCACATTCAGGGTGTGTTGAATGTCCTCATAGATGATCTATGGTCTCTCAGTAAATGAGGCCTCCTTTCTCTGGCTTTGTAAGAAGTTTGACCATTAGCAAGGGGGACCTGTTTGCTTCAGCATGTAACCAACAGTTTTTGGTAAACGTGGTGTTGTACATGCCTTCTGGACTGGTTTTGATGGTCTTGCCTTTTCCTACTGGTTCTGCTCATTCTTGTGACCAGGACCAATGCATTCTTGTGATGTGCACTGTTATACCCTACATGGAAGGTCTTGCATTTTTCAATATTGAAAAGTATTTGTCAGTCTTCTGACCATTTGTAGATTTCATGTAGATACCTTTGTAGGGTCTCAATATCATTTTTGCTTCCTGCTTTACAGTAGCTCTTAAGTGTCATTTGCAAATTTGATGATGTGGTTTGTAATGTTCTCATCTATGTCTTGATATATATGACAAAGGGTTGGCCTCAAGATGGAACCTTGCAGTACGCCCCTCAACTCATTTTTCAAATTCATTGCCCCAAGCTTCCCCTCACTATTTCATAGGAGCCTGATCCAAGTCTGACTTCTGGTAGGCTCTGGTGGGTTTGAGAGGGTGTGTTTCCTAAGGTCTGGTTAATGCAATGTTGTGGCTTCAGGGAGCTACATAGGAGGTCTCTTCTAGAAATACAGTTGTAATTCCTGGAGCAAACTAGTGGAATTTGTTATACTGCAATTATTATATTGGCGCAATAACACAATTATTAAGTTTTTCTTTTTAGGCAGAAGCAGTTGGCATGGTTGTAAATGGCAATGCTCCAGTGATTCCCCAACCAGCAGAAGGAGCCACGTATGACCCTATGCTCAACAAAAAAGAACTGTGTAAAATCAACTGGGAACAGCCTGCTGAAAATCTTCATAACTTTATCCGGGGTTTAGATTCATCTCCTGGAGCATGGACAGTAATGGATGGGAAGGAGGTTAGTTAATATATATTACCTGTACTGTATAAGAAACTGTTCGACTTTGCCTTGGATGGGATTGTCTTTAAAGGATATTTGCAAATGTTACATAATAATGATAATTACTGTAATTTAATGCACTACCTTCTGTTGGCATTACTGTTATTCTCGTAGTTGTCAAAGTAACTTATCATGTACATTTAGGAATCTGATCTGCATCTTATTGCTTAGACTTGTACTTAAATTTCTCATCTCCCTCTGACATCATGAGTTTATTTTTAAGTGTAAAAGCATTACAAATAAAGATCAAGGTTTGATGCACAAGACAATTTTTCACCATAAATTTTATTACAAATGTCTTGTCATTTATTCAGGTAAAGTTGTTTGGTTCAAAGATGTTCACCGGATCTGTGGGAGAGGGACAGAATGTTGAAATTGAAGGGCTTGCCATACCTGGTATCATTCACAAGGATGGACTACTTCTGACTGGAACAGATGGAAACAAGGTAATTTTGTTTTTGACGCTGTTGAGAGAAGTGTAAGTACTAAGTATAGAAATTACTCCTAAATTGGAAGGTAGAAATGATACATAATAGAAATTCTTTAAACACAAAAATGTTCCCTATAATCCACAAATCCATAATCCACATGTTTAGATCTAATCAAATGAATACATTCAGTTTGCATAAAAAGCAGGGAGCCATTTGTATTATTTACAAGCCGCACTTCAAGTCGGACTTGATGTGTGGCATTGTTGATGTCTTTTACCCCCTACTGGGCTGAAGTAATCTGCCAAGGCCACTCGCCTCCTGGCTTGGCTACATAGTATAAAGCCAATCTTCCTCCTCCCCTCTTCATCCCTCTTGCTCTGTCTGTCCTTAATACATACCTGCCTTCCTCCATGGCAGTTATACATGTGAGAATTACACAACACTTATACATAACTACATGGCACTTATAATGGTCTGATTAAAGGAAGGATTTTTCCTGTACGTAGGTAAATGTATCACGCATAAGTGTCGATGGTAAAATGATGAATGCAGCTAAGTATGGTGCAGCAGTAGAAGCCACGGAAGCAGTAGAGCTGACAGCGGAAGAACAAGAAATATCCAATCAGTTGAGAGATACTTGGAAGGCCATTTTGAATATAGAAATTGCTGATGACACAGACTTCTTCAAATCTGGAGCTGGCTCAATGGATGTTGTCAGGTATATATTTTGATTCTTATCTCTACCGATTTAATTTGTATTCATTGTAGGTGCTGAAGAATTAACAAGAAAATTTTGTAGTCATTAGTACCCTGCTTCCAGGAAATTTATCAGTCATGTAACCTGTTTTACTTCTACTTAGCTGAATATATAAAATATATATACAGCTGTACTCTATTCAGTATACATATGTGTGAGGTGTAAAAGTGAGGGTTTTGAATGAAGCACAATTTAAAATTTTTGCACTACCACCTGGGGTGAATTTTATTCTGCTGTCATGTGCTGGAGGTATTTACTGGGCTCAAGGACCTGTTTTGAAGATCAGAGGATCTGGTATGTTATGCCAGTCGGAACAATGTGCGAACAATGAACTAACTCGTCATATATACGAGTTTATAGCACTAGTCTTATATCCATCTGGGCAGTCGCTGTGCCTATTCACACACATTCCAATGTTGGAACATTGTTCAAATATTATATGATTTAGAAGAAGTGCTTCAAAAAATTTGACTGGTAAATTTAATTCGTACTGCTTGTGAGGACACCAGGTAAATAATTTCTTGACATGTTTCAATAATTTTTGCTACATTTATATAGGTTAGTTGAGGAAACCAAGGAAAAAGCTGGAGTTTCTCTAGAAAATGAAGATGTGTACATGGCTACTACATTCCAAGAATTTATCCAGGTAAGATTTTAAAAGTACTGTATAACAAGTTCTTTTTTTTTTTGCTATATACTACCAAATGTTTTCTGTTTTTCATGTAAAATTCATGAAGAATATGAATAATAAAATTATGTTTTAAATATGCTCAATGACATTTCTAAGGTACTGGCTATTTCTCTTAGTCCATATATGAAAATTGTTAAAAATTAGTTATTTCCCCAAATCTTTGGGAATATTCAACTGAGTGAAATTCCAATTTCAAGCTATCATATGATGGATAACTACCAAGAGAGGAAGGGTGATCTAGTGCCCAAATTTTGTCTATCGTTTAGATGGATCCTCTATAGCCTGTAGTTGGGAGGTGCCATTACATAATGGAAGCAGTAGTGATATGTGGTTATGGTTGACTTGACAAAATAATCCAGCATTGAATGTAATGAAACTCCTCTTTCTGGTGGGTCCCTTGGTGGCTCACTTGGAACGTTTCAATCCTTGGGTACCATACCAATCTTTATTGACTCATGATCACCTACCGGGAACCAGTAATAGAATCTGGCCCCATCATTAGAGGCATAAGGCAGTCTCTGGATACAAAATCACCATAGTGCCAAGAGAAAAAACCACCAGAATTGGACAACGATTGCAACCTTGATGTGAACTATATACACAATTGTCTAGATCTGACTGATAGTTGGCACCACTCGCTTGCCACCAGATGGCAGCCCCAGTGACCTGAGGGTCCCAGCCAGCCACCACCCCAGTCATTCATGCACTGCCCATGCAATGGTCCCCCAAACACCACAGAAAGAAGGGTATGGCACTAATGGCAAAGGAACTGAAGAAGGGCCTACTGTGGGAGAAAGTGTGGAGATGCCAGTAACCCCGAAGGGAGTCGACTTCAAATCGACCAACCCAATTATCGTGAATGCCTGGCACTGCCTAGGAACATTGACCAGGTACTGAACTGTTAAAATACGTTTAAAGAACAAAAAATACCAAGCCCAAATATCTGCCCATGGCATATTGTAAAAGAAGATAGCCAGCACCACAAACCTGCATACGGTACTTTCATCAACATCAACTCCTTAATTTTATTGTCATGGAATTTGCCACTTTTATATTTATCACATTTGTGGGCTTGGTTTTCTTCATAGTGCCTACAAAACTGTATTCTTTGCTAACACCCACGAGTTATTTTTAAATCAAACATGTCGGTATTCCTTCAATTTCAGCAAAAAAAAAACACACACACACTTTTCCACTTTACCTGTACAACCCAGTGCACTTCATTAATTATTTATTTCTTTACTAACTTAATTATGGGTTCAAAGTACCGTAAATAATACTGGACACTACTCCTAATAATTATAGTGCTTCAACTGCTTTGAGCAACAGTGCACAACTGGTAACAAAGTGATGCTGCTCAAGTAAAATCCTGCTACAGTTCAGTGGTGTCACCTTTGATGCACCACTCAAGCTTGCCTGGTGGCTTACTTTAAACCATAAGTAACTAATGTCTACTGCACTGACATTCACAAACATCCTATACAATAGACACAACAGGAAGAAAAAAAGATTTACCAATACAAATGCATTACTTTTATCTTAAACTGTGTTAGATGAGTGCTCAAGCTGTGGTTGAAGCAGCGAGTGGCTCACACACAGAAGGGGGATAAGCCACATATGGGCTGCATATGGAAGAGTAACAGGCCACATGCAGGCTGCGTACAGAAGGGTGACGGACCACACGTGGCTTGCATATTGAAGGGTGACAGACCACATTTGGCCTGTGGGCTACATATTTGATACCCCTATCTTTAAGGTATAACTTAATTCTGATGATGTTTATGGTATTGTTGGACACTGCTTCTCATGCTTAAACATTTATTTTCCTGTTGCCTGAATCGACTATAAATTTTCTGAATTTCATTATCAGGTAATGGTTGTAAAGATGCGCGGAGGGGACACTAAACCAGTGTTTGAGTATGATGCTGTCAAGATGCACGTCAACAATATGGATATTGAATTCCCTCACCAGCTCTTCATTGATGGCCAGTTTATTGATGCTACAAGTGGCAAGTACCTGAAGAGCATTAACCCTGCCACTGAAGAGCTCATATGTGATGTATGTGTTGGGTATGAGCCTAGTTGTTTCTATGTTAATGGTATGATCAATTGCTCCCTTTCAAACTTAGTGCTGTATTAAATTCATACATTGAATAAAATTCCTAAGTCTTTTTTATAAAAGTAACTGTTGTAGGATATTTGTGGGAGCAGCTTAGGAAGCTTGTATATTTCCTCCCAGCTATGGATGCAGTATATATATTTCTGTCATACTACATAAGTGAAGTGATCTAGGTACAGGGCACTGCACTCTCTCTTCTTACACTAGACTTTGCTTGAGCAGACATAATTGTTTACAGCCTCTTGGGACATTCATGTTTGTCTTACTTCACTTACAACATCACCTTAATTCAAATCAAATCAAATATCATTCAGGTAAAGTACATACATACAAGGTGAGATACAAAACATTGATGGATTTATAGATAGAGCTAGTACATACAATGCCTAATGCCACTATTATGCAAAGCGTTTCGGGCAGGAAAAACACTAAGACTAAAACTTAATACTAATTGAGATTGAAGTATAAATTGTGTTGAGAAAAAAAAGGGGGCGGGGGGGAAACATGGCAGAAAAAATAGCAAATATACAATTTGGTCAACAAAGAGCATTGAATATAGTAGACATGGGTGGACATTTTAGGGGTGAGGTAGGTTACATGGAGTTAATTAGGTAGTACTTAGTTTTTATCTTAGACTGTACCTCTCCCAACCAGTTTAACATGATTGGGAAGGATTTAATTTAACATAATTAATCTATAGCTCATTACAGCATGATTCAAATCATCAAGACTAAACATCTAGGTACAGTGTATTACATATTTTTATATTACATATGGTCTTTGGTACTTTATTCATTCTCTTTATACTGTTAGTTATCACTAAGAACTCTTTTGACCCCACCAAGATTCGAACCACCTCTGCTGCCAGGGGGCAGCAGCACACTGACTTACACAGGAGTGGTATTAGTACTGTACTGTGTTAGCCAATGGGGGCAAGCTCTGGCAGTGCTTCTTGAGGTTATCTTGATGATTCAGGGCTTTTTTAGTGTCCCCGCGGCCCGGTCCTCGACCAGGCCTCCACCCCCAGGAAGCAGCCCGTGACAGCTGACTAACACCCAGGTACCTATTTTACTGCTAGGTACAGGGGCATAGGGTGAAAGAAACTAACCATTGTTCTCGCCGGCGCCCGGGATCAACCCCGGGACCACAGGATCACAAGTCCAGCGTGCTGTCCGCTCGGCCGACCGGCTCCCATCTGCTGATTGAAACCCTAGTGGGGAGAAAGAGTTTTTAGTGATTTATAGCTTGGTTGCCATTCAAACTTTGTCTCACTGTTAGTTTGTGTTTAATAGTATGCAATTTTCCCCCGTCTTTCATTGTCTGTACTAAAATAGTATACTTGTTTTTTTATATAAAAGATGATCATATGTACCTTTTATATTCCTTAAACAAAATATTTTTTCTGCGGTTGACAGGTTGATGCTGCAGGAAAGGCAGATGTTGATAAAGCTGTCGCAGCAGCTAAGAAAGCTTTCTATGAAGGGCCATGGGGCAGCATGAATGCCAGAGACCGAGCAACTCTTATTTTTAAGTATGTTACATTATTTTTTGTGCCATTATCATCATTGCCATTCATTCCAATTTTTTCATCATTATCACAATTATCATTATCATAATCATCATCATAATCATCATAATCATCACCATCATAATCATCATCGTTGCTATTATCATCTGCTTCTTGGTGGAAACGGTCTTGTTCCTTGCCTTTGCATGTGTGTGTGTACTAACACACACACACACACACACACACACACACACACACACACACACACACACACACACACACACACACACACACACACACACACACACACACACACACACACACACACACACACACACACACACACACATATACACACATATACACACACACACATATACACACATACACACATATACACACATATACACACATATACACACATATACACACATATACACACATATACACACACATACACACATACACACACATACACACATACACACATATACACATATACACATATACACATATACACATATACAGTATATATATACATATGCAAATGCACCACCCTCAGGCAGGAAAGTTAAAGCATAAATTTCAAAATTACCTCTTAAGGTAAGCCAATATTTTATTAAAGGAATCGGTTGTAAGACACTTCTTTGAGTTGTGTCAAGAAGAGATTTGTGTGTAATAGGTGTACATATTACATTGTAGGCAGTGGTGAGATTCAGGTTTCATTATTATAATAATAATATAAGAGTAATAATAGAGGTACATAGTTGCCTTTAATATATTAATCAGGGGTTTTTCAGGTTGGCTGATCTAATGGATGAGCACAAGGAGGAGTTGGCAACTATTGAAACTATTGACTCTGGAGCTGTGTACACCCTGGCACTGAAGACCCACGTAGGCATGAGCATTGACACTTGGCGGTACTTCGCAGGATGGTGTGACAAGATTCAAGGCAAAACCATCCCAATCAACAATGCTCGACCCAACCGTAATCTCACCATAACAAAGAGAGAGCCAATTGGGTATGTGTGTCGTTGTTATTTAAATAAAATAATTAAACAATAATTTAAACCACCGTATTGATCTGTTAACTGCTATCATTAGTGGTCATAGAAAGAATAATAAACTGGGTGGTTTGTGAATAATGCCGACATGCATCCTGATAAGATTTCTAGCGGTAGTATATGTTGAAATGTAGCGCTGTATTATCCTTCATGTCTTTTAAGTATTTTACACCATACTGTTTATGAAAATTATCTTTTTTTTTTTTTTTTTTACATAGAGGCTTTGCTGTATACTGCAAAGTGAAACTATGTGAATAAATTTAAAGAGATGAAATTTGATTTCCCACTAATGTCAGAACATTAGTGGTAAATGTTTTTCCCTCTTCCCGCTTTTCACCAAAACTTATTGCAATATTTTTTTTCTCTTCATTCTTGATGAATGCAGTAATAATGTAATTCATTGCTCGCTTAACTAGTGTGTGTGGTCTAGTAACCCCCTGGAACTACCCTCTGATGATGTTGTCTTGGAAGATGGCTGCTTGTCTTGCTGCTGGTAACACCGTAGTGATCAAGCCTGCTCAGGTCTCCCCACTTACTGCACTAAAGTTTGCTGAACTTTCTGCCAGAGCTGGTATTCCACCAGGTGTCATCAATGTCCTCCCTGGGACAGGTAAGACTTTTTTCTTTTTTTACTTGCTAGCTTGTTATAGATCATTTAATTACATATTATTAAAAAATATTTAAAACTAAGAATTTACTTTCCTGTAGAAATCAAGTTTTGAATGTAATCAAATGTCAGTTTCTGGTGATCCACTCAATTGCTATAACACTAAGGTTCCCTAGTCTTAGAGAGTCTCACAAAGCCTGTTGAGACCCACCTGATCCTACTGGAAGCCAGAATCAGACTTTAGTGTTCTGTACTAAGCGAGGGGAAGCAGGTGATCAACCAATAGCAGAGATAAAACCCACCAGAAATTTGATTATCAAAACAAGCAACTGATTGAAAGAAAATTAGTAACCCTGAGGAAAACATGGCAAATAAATGTTAACTCAGGCCTAACACCCTAGACATATTGCATCCGACTGTCATTAGACGAAGGCCAGTGTCACTTGGGGTCCGCTGCCGCGAGTCACCTCATTCACAAGCTACCCAGCAGAAACCCCTCCAACTCCCACTGGGTAGAAGGAGCTAAGGCAGATGCAAGGAGCTATTACATTCAATGTTTGTTATGTGGGAGGCGGTTGGCTTGGACCCTAGTTGACCTGAGCCATCACTTGGTGGCTGTCAGGTGCATCAAGATTAAGGTTGTTTGCTTTATTTCTCATATGATTTCTTTTGTTTTTGTCAAGCAGTAGGTTGCTTTGCTTTGCCTAGTCTTGTGGTTTTTTGTATTTGGTAAATGTCTGATGTACAAGCTCCACTTGTCTTGTAGAGAGAGCCAGATCCTTATCTTAGCTCATGTAGTCAGTGTGAGTCTTGGATGCATGGTGCAATTACTTGGGCCTGGCTAAACCAGCACTTAGGCTTTGGTAAGCTACTGATTGCCCACCACTAAAGGGTATTTAAATACATGAACACCTGATTTTTATGTCAAGTGTTTTAAAGTATTAACCACTGCACTGCGCAAAGCGCCTTTAGGCGCTCAGAGAGTTGTGCTTTTTGTTTTTTATTTGGCTATATTTTAATGTTTTTTAATGTTTTCATTACTATTTGTGTTTTGAAATGGAAATAGTTGACTTTGGAAACATTTTGACATTAAATTTACCTGAACATTTGTAAAAATAACAAAAATATGTCCTTGACAATTGCACCAAGACGTTTTTGCCGAAAATAGGTGAGCAGTGATGTCAGTAGTTATTATCTCAACTGACAAACTTATTTGATGTCAGATGCAATGGAATGATAGATGAGCTGGATAGGGATCAGTCCCAGTTAGGTCATTTGGAAGTGCAATGCATGTACAGTATACTCATTATCGAATTTAACTAAAAGAATTGGGTTGGTGATTTTTTAAGTTCTTGGATATTACAGTAATTTGAAAAATAAACTTCAAATTTATTTGTTACTTCTTAATTGGGCCTGATTCATTTTGCTAAGTTGGAAAAAGTAAAAGCTTTGTGTTGGGATAGAAGCCGTAATGCAAAAATTAAAAACTAAATTTCAGTTTTAAAACCTGAATGCCATATGCACAAACATTTTAGCATGTGCAAAAATATGTTAAGTTGCCTGCAAATATGTACTGTACTGTATTAATGTGATCCATATCAATATAAAACTTATTTGCAGGCAGTGTTTGTGGTCAGGCCATCGCTGATCACCCAGACGTGCGCAAGCTAGGTTTTACAGGCAGTACAGAGATTGGTCAGGTAATCATGAAGTCTTGTGCAGTGAGCAACTTGAAGAAAGTGTCCTTGGAGCTTGGAGGGAAATCTCCTTTCATCATCTTCGCTGATTGTGATCTAGACAAAGCTGTTCGAATGGTTAGTACAGTGATTCAGTCCCTTGGAATTCACTTTCAGGTCATTTTAGACTGTGTTTCGTAGAATAATAGTATTTTTCAATTTAAATTAGTGGTCATTAAATGAAACTGCTTTATGGCAAAAACATGCCATGTAAACATACATTATATAAGGGTCGGCTATATTTTCTGACATAGACAAGCATCACATTGGTAATACTGTATTAGTTAATCCCATGCTTAATTGCTTCTAATTATTTGCTGCCATAACTACACTAAAACTTCTTAATTGCTACCATGTGAATATCACTAATATTTTAGGGCGGTCCCCCATAAGTGGGTAGCCACAGTTTATGCTCCGGATTGCCAGTACCATCTGGCAATGTTTCTATAGCCATCCCATGGCCTACCAGGAGTGGGAGGGAATCATCAGGGAAAAGTGCCCATCTAATACGACTGTATAGCACTGGGAAGGGGTCAGGATAAGGATTTGGGAAGGAATCTATCTACCATCTGTCCAGCCCAAGTAGAAGCAGATTGCTTCCTATTCAAAGGTTGGGGAGCTGTTGGTGTCATGAGACTACAACACACTATGGTTAAACCCAGTCACAATAAGTGTGGCATAGAACTTAAATACTTGTAATCAATATTTGGTATGGAGAATACCAAATAAACACAAAATTATCCAAAGTAACTGAATTTGTTTTGCAATGTCCAGGACAGGGAGCCTGTTAGGTTAGTAATGTCACATTTGGCTGATAACTAACCTTTCCCTGGATGCAAGTCATGGTAGGACTCAAAGTAGCTGACATGGACAATGAATGTTAGCAGCCTTGTCTTGGATTCTTATCACATTGTATAAAGTTTCTAGTTAAAAGTTTAATTTTGTAGGTACCAATTTGATTTATCCAAATTTACACAAATTGGGTGTTTTCTATAGGATAAATGTTTTGTATGTGCATTATTGCTTGCAAAATAAGGTATTGTAATGAGTTTGAACATTTATAATAATAATAATTCATTGTGTAGGGAGACAGGCAGTCATTGTTTATACTGTATACACATTATACTTGCATCAGGGTCCCTCCAAGGTTGAATCACTGTCACCTTTTTCTAGGATGGAACCCCACAACAAGCTAACTCCTTGGTACTTATTTACTGCTTAGTGAAGAGTTGCATTAGGTGATAGGAAACGTGCCCATTTCTGTCTTGCCCCGGGATTCAAACCCGGAATTCCCGATTGTGAGTTGAGAATAAACCCGACTACTTTTGGGCAATGATAAAGTGAACATTGAGTTTGTAATTCTTCCCATTAACTAAGTGCACCGAGAGACATTATACAACTAACTCTTTGTCTGAAGAGTTTTTAGTTATTTTTGGAGTTATTTATTGTTATTTCTATTATCAATAACCAAGTTTTCATATGTGCTTTTATCCTCTCTAGGTAAGTGGTTGTTGTGAGAACTTTTATATTGTTAATGTACTGATCAAAGTTTTATTTTGGACAGGGCATGAGCAGTGTGTTCTTTAACAAGGGTGAGAACTGTATTGCTGCAGGAAGGCTCTTTGTTGAAGAGTCCATTCATGACGAGTTTGTCAGACGGGTCATTGAGGAATGCAAGAAAATGGTATGTTGATTATTGTTAATTTTCTTTGGATTAGTGAATTTTTCATTCATGGTTAAAATAAATAACTTTATAGAGTGAAGATTTTATTGTGTGTGATGTGAAACGTTGTGGTATTACTGCTAGTTGTAAGTAGGGAAAGGTAAATCTAGAGCATTTCTCAAGATAACAGAACTAATTACAGAAGTGTAATGCTTCCAGTGGTGTAAACAAATTATGGCACTGCCTTGTTGTATTATGCTTGACAATCTGGCTCGTGTTAGGTGCTATTATGTAGTGCTCTTCTAAATGCATTATCTTAGTTTCAGTTGTGCAGTTGCTGTTAATCATTTAATCATCTTCAGGTAATTGGAGATCCCTTGAATCGTGGCACTGCCCATGGACCACAGAACCACAAGGCTCACTTGGATAAGTTGCTGGAGTATATTGACACGGGTGTGAAGGAGGGTGCCACACTGGTGTATGGAGGCAAGAGGGTCGACCGACCAGGATACTTCCTCCATCCAACTGTGTTTACCAATGTTCAAGATGATATGTTTATTGCAAAGGAGGAGAGCTTTGGTCCTATCATGATCATATCTAAATTTGCAAATGGGTAAGTACTTTGTTCATACTTTTATTTACCTCAAATGTTAGGAGTGGGGGGGTGGCTGTTCCTAACATTACCAAAGCTTGAATAGATATAACAGGTTCAACATTTATTAGGATAGCAGTTCATAAGAATGAAGGTAACTGCAAAAGACCTTTTGGCCCATACTAGGCAGCTATTTATATCCACCCAATCCCATTCATATATATAGTATTTCTAAACTAGGCTTGAAACAATCAAGGGATCCTACTTCTATTATGTAACGCGGTAATTGGTTCCACAAATCAATAACCCTGTTACCGAACCAGTACAATATTTAAAATTAGGTTCAAACTAGTTCAAATTAGGCTGTTTGTTCCATACGTTGCCATCAAAACATGTGAATAAATTTTGATGTAGCAAAGCTACATTTCAAGATATTATACAAGATGATTAAAAAAATTGTCAATCTAGGATCTGAATGGTTCAAAGTCATCTTCCTTTTATAATCAAACATAAGTGATGGAAGTTTCATACCAATGCACAAAAGGACTTTCCAGATGTTTAATGAAAACCAAATAATGCAATAAATAAAAAGTATCACAAGGTGAATTTATTAGTAATATCCAGTATCAGCATTCATACTCATACTGGCTGGTTTGCAAGAGAAAATGAGAAAGGTTGAGTGAGGGAGATCATTAGATCAGGTGTACCAAGTGGCAGCACAGTAACCACTTTCATTATTACCATAAGTGATAAATGAATAATGAATTGTATATGAGAGTAATAAACAAAATAGAATATGCCCACTGGGCTTACCTGTGGTAGAAGAATGGCAGCTGCACATCTAACATGCAAGTATACACAAGTACAGTGATGCTAGGCAAAGTTGAGTGATGTCATGCAATTCTGTTCTGTATTACATTACAATACAAACAACTCTTTACCTCTATATAATATTCGTGTTATTAAATACACATACCTAGTTTTTGCAGTCCTTTAATTTTGTGTATAATATGGAGAGACTTTTGACAAGCCACCGACTTTCTGTCCCTGTCGAGACCACTAGACATGGTGACCCTCAGGTAAATTAAATGCAGGTGATACATTAAATGTAACCCTATTTTTTTGTGATGGATGAACTAAATTCTCACACATGAACATCTATGTAGCTGGGTCAGCCTTTGCTAAGGTACTCATAGTTATAATCTCATTTACAAGCTCACATAATGTAGCATTTTTCTTTATGTAACAGAACATGGGTCCCAACTTTTCACCTATTGCCTTACATATACTGTACTGTACATATCTAATTGTGTTATATATTATTTCTGATAGGACTCTCTCAGTAACTCACAGAGCTTGACTGTGGTACTGCCAAGCCTTGCCAAGACTACAGACTTCCGAGACCCATCCATTGCTTGCCAGAACCAGAATATGACAAAGAGGAGATGGGAGCAGGGTTTCAGAGATTAACTCACTGGAAGCATTGGTGCAACAAATCAAGTTACTGCTTTAAGGAAACTAGCCACTCCTATGCAAACAGTTGTTGCCATGGATTGCCACTAGATGACAGTCCAGGTCACCAGGTGTCTTGGCCAGCCTGCTTCCCCTCGCTCTTCTGGCAATTTCTGCCAATCGAGCAGCTGTTTGATTAGTCTTGCATTGGTTTTGGTTCTTCTTAACTCCAGTACCTTGAGCGGCTGTTCAGCCATCTACTGCTCTGCTCAGTAATGTTGTTCGAGACTCATTGATTGAAGGTGTTTTTGCCGTGACTCCGTCCTTCAAGCAAGTGTCCTACTTGCTTCTCATGCTCCAGAAAAGTTCTCTGAAGTATTATTTTCCTTTGGACAAGTTTATTCTTCACGAGTTCCTCCCTTGTCCTGCATTCTGGTTAACCAGAGTATTAATTATTACTGGGTAGTTTTGAGTGCTTCTTGGTTTATTTCCCTGGATCGCCAGATTGTCTATCGACAAGGCCACTTCCTTCATTACTAAATACAGGGAGTGGTTTTGACTTAGAGTGGTGTAACTCTCATACCAGGTTTGATCTGTGATGTTTGGTTTTTCTGTGTCCTCCAAACTGAATCACTTTGCCCTTCAATGCCTTCATCTTTGAGGGATTTAGATTGACCTACTTTGGACCCACAATCATCTGGTTTATCTGATGACCAAGGATCTGGGTTTTTTTTTTTCAGTCGGCCTCCTTCATATTTTTGTTTAACTGGAAGATGTCCTAGTTGGTATCTTCTCATGATCTGGCTAAATTGGGCCTAGTCTGCATTACTACCCCCCCCTACACACACAGGAAGATTTCCTGAGACCTGGAACTTCAAGAACAAGAGGTCATAGATTTAAACTAACTAAACAAAGATGCCGAAGAAATATAAGAAAATTCACTTTTGCAAATAGAGTGGTAGACGGTTGGAAGAAGTTAGGTGAGGGGATGGTGGAGGCCAAAACCATCAGTTGTTTCAAAGCGTAATATGACAGAGTGCTGGGAAGATGGGACACCACGAGCGTAACTCTCATCCTGTAACTTCACTTAGGTAATTACACACACATGATATAGAGCCCAGCAGGCTCAGGAATCTGTACAACAGTTGATTGACGGTTGAGAGGTGGGACCAAAGAGCCAGAGCTTAACCCCCACAAGCACATATAGGTGAGTATACACTCACTCACTCTCTCACTCCTCTGTTGTGGCTGTGCCTCCAATTTCTGACGCATCTAGGGCTGGTCTCATCCATTGGGACCTCTTGCACATTTTTGCAGTGCCTGGTTTATGCCTGTATTGTGTTCCCACTGGGCTGCAACTGGTTTAAGGTGCTTTCTCACTTTCTCTGGTGGGTGTCCTTTTGCCACTACTAAAGTCATATTGTTCATGGCCTGTTTTGCTCAAGGTAGATTTTGTAAAGTTTTTCATCTTCATATTCTTTCTGGATTCAGTTACATAGCATATTCTTTGGTGCTTGGGCTGTTTTTGGTTGTACCACTATTTTATTGGACACTTCATCTCCTGCTTTCCCTGCACCAGTCTGTGTCAACGGCCTTCTTGTGTGGCATCCACTCTTTATGGTGTGAGTGTTCGTGACAGTCATGGTGGCACTACAGGGATGCTTTGCTGTCCATCTTCTTCAGTCTTTTTTTTCCCAAGAGTGCCTCAAGCTTTGATTATCAGTGATAATAATATAATAATAATTTTTATTTAGGTAAGGTACATACATAAAGAGATTTTACAAAGTTTGTTGGCTTTATAGATAGAGCTAGTACATACAATGCCTAAAGCCACTATTACGCAAAGCGTTTCGGGCAGATGATGTACCATACTGGTGTGGCTCCAATTTTCATGGTTGGGTTCTCTCATTTTGACGGTGGGAGACATTAGTACATCCTCCCTCTGGCTTTACAGACCATTAATCCATCCACAGGGTATGTATATTTCTCCTCATGATTCTGGCGGCTTCTGTTTTTTTGGGATATCATTTTTCCAGATTGTGGTGCATTTTCAGAGGATGTGTTTTGCCTGGCCTGGGGAAAGAGAGCTTATGTTTTCTTCTTTCTTGCATCCTGCTCATACTTTTTCATGTCAGAGTTGAGCCCTTTAAGGGCCATGTTCTTTTAATGGTTCCTATGTAGCTCATTCCTGGCTCTTGTTGCCTGTTGTTCTGACCCTTTTCTTTCAGGAAGTTGTTCCTCTTCCCGAGATTTGGTGGCATGCCCAGCCTTGATGACTGGTGGCTCCCCACTAGTCTTAAGTGGTGGCTTAGTGAGTCTTTTTGCCTATTCCTCTCTTGGTGTCTTATCATTCGTGTAGGATGCTTCTGGTGACATCTTTTGTGTCTTGGCTCTTCTTGATTTACGGATTGCTGTTAATCCTGGTAGACAGTCTCATTCAACCATGGTGGGCCCCTCTCACTGGCATTTGGGAGATATATGCCCTCTCCAATTCTTCTGGCTAGTAGGCGAACGTGGGTCTCAAAGGCCTGGTGTATTTGGTAAAGGCTTGGTAGAACCATAATTAAGCTTGCAAAACTGCTGGGAACCCACCAGAAAAGGACATTTCTTTCCATTTTAAGCTTTATTTTTGCTCATAACTCCCTTTTTTTCTTCCTTACAGAGAAGTTGAAGAGGTGGTGGCCCGTGCCAACAATACAGAGTTTGGTCTGGCTTCTGGAGTTATGACAAAGGACATCAGTAAAGCTCTACTTGTATCTGAGAAGCTAGATGCTGGCACATGCTTTGTTAATACATACAATAAAACAGATGTTGCAGCACCATTTGGAGGATTTAAGCAAAGTGGCTTTGGAAAGGATCTTGGAGAAGAGGCACTCAATGAGTATCTTAAAACTAAGACCATTACCTTTGAATATTAGATTTTATGATAAAACTTAATTTAAATGTTCAAGCATACACATTTTTTACCAGCATAATTTGTTGTAGAAAACTAGGGTTGGGGTTTGTAATTGCAACAGGGAAGGGCTAGTGTAAAATTTCTCAGATGTTTTATTGCAGAGTAAAACTTTTGACTCAAATATTGCACTGTATTAAAAAGTAATGATTATGAACTGTTACCTGTAGTGAGTGGTACTCATAATAATAACAACGACAATAATGAAACTATTTATATAATACAGAGGAACAGCTCACAGTGGCTACTTTGCAGGTACAATATTTGTATTCTTTCTAAGGTCTTCTAATTACAGGCAACATTTCCGGCATATTTTAAGATGAAGCGTGGATAGTGTTAAACTTTTGGGGGTGATATTTCATTCTATGAGATGTAAGTCAACATATATACTATATAAAAGATTTTATATGTGAGTAAAATGAGTTTCTTTTAATGCTATTATAAATGTTTTACCTTTCATACCCTTGTGCCTCTTCAGTCCTTAAATTGCCTTTCATTGTGACCCCATATACTTTATATATATGGCATACCACTTCTGATAATAAGTATCGTGAGGACTTATTAAAAGCATCAGAGGAGAGCATAAAATGCCTCTGGAATTTTTTTGTTTTTGTGCTGTTACGTACCTAATTTATTTCTAAATTAGCAACCATCTATTTACTTCAAAGGGACAATTGGATTTTAATTATAGGGGTCTGTATTATCAGAGTAATTGAGCTTTAGTTCATCCAAACACATGCATTATCCAGAACTGTTCTTTGCTATTTTTTGGCTAATTTTTATTTTATTTGGGACCAACAACCCTCCCAACGGGCAAGGATGGAGGAACGAATAACCGGATAAAAGTCGGAAAAAGGAATACCTATACAGGAAACGGGACAAGAGTGGATAGCCTCTCTAGCAGCAGTATCCACACACTCATTTAGAGAAACACCAACATGGCTGGGAACCCAGCAAAACTCCACAGATTTAAATTTATTAGATTACTGTAGGCCTATCAAATAAGGAATTTTTATTTGACTTATTGTGTGCCTACATGCTGTATGCACATCAGTGGTCTTCATTCTCGATTCATAATTTGGAATCCCGAGTTCATATTTCCAGATGGGACAAATAGTAGGGGGGGGTGTCCTTTCACCTGAAGTGTCTGTTCATTTAGCAGTATATAGTAGCAACCCACCATAGGGAACTATGGTGGGTTACATCCTATTGCAGGTCAATGATTCAACCTAGAGTTGACCTCATTACAAGCTTCCTGTCCTCAACAGTGGGAATTATTATTATTAATTACATTTCACTACTGTTTGGTCCTCAGTTTCCTTTTAAGTGTTTATTGTCCCATTCATTCTGGAATTTTAGTGTGCCCTTCTAAGAGCTTCAGGTCCCTAAATCTATTGAGATGAAACTATAGTATAGTATATGACATGGTTACCTTATGGTAACCACAAGGGGTTTAGTGTCCCCATGGCCCGGTTCTCGCCCAGGCCTCCTCATTGCTGGACTGGTCAACCAGGCCGTTGAACATGGGTGCTTGCAACCTGATATATGAATCACAGCCTGATTGATCAGGTATCCTTTGGAGATGGTTATCAAGTTCTCTCTCGAACACTGTAAGGGGTCTGCCAGTTATATCCCTTATGACCTATAGAGTACAAGTATTTTTTTATACATGGGGCATCTTCAAGAACATTTGAGGTTTAAATGATTGATAGTAAATGTACATTGATAAGAATCTGCAGTATAAGCAATGGAAAACATTTTAAGACATGATGCTGCTGTAACAACTATAGTAAGAATGTTTAGTATATCACCTATGCACGTAGTTAATAAGTCAATATTGACTTTACGAATTTGCGAGAACGGGTTGGAATTGGAGGATGTTGATGTGGACAATTTCTTCCAAAGGTCAGATGTAACACAAACAAGGAATATCGGGTTCACTCTCAACAAGCCACATTATTGGAAAACTGAAAACAGGAGATGTTGTTGTTTTAGATTAAGCAACTGAACAAAAAAGTTGCAAGTAGCACGGGCTATGGTGAGCCCGTAGTGGACTTACCTGGCACAGGAGCGGGGCTGTGACTGACGAGAGATGCTTTCTTTACAGGGTTATAAACCCATGGAACTGCCTACCTTACAGATTTTTTTATTATTATTAACAAGCTTAGCATACACAAGTAATGTGCTGCTACTCTATTCTATATGAAAGATTACACAGTGCAGTTGTTGTTGCTGTTGTTATAGATTCAGCCACTCGGAACAAGTTCCAAGTAGCACGGGCTATGGTGAGCCCGTAACTTACCTGGCAGTGTTGCCAGATTGGGCTACAAATAGCGAATTGGGCTACTTTTGAGAGCCCCGCGCCCCCAAATTTTTAATTTCTCTACTTGCTACTTTTTGGGCTAATTTAAAAGCAAGATGTGCTAATTTGGGCTATTAAAGTTAAGAATGTACGATTGCGAATTACATGAAAGTAACTAAGCTATAAATAATTGTAATTAATAATAATTGTAAATATTAATTAATACTAAATAATATTTAATAAATTAGTCCCAATTCAATGCAGAGTTTTCTTCCAAGCACAGAAACTTGTAAATATAAATACAAGATAATAGATAGATCGATAAATAAATAGACAACTCTCAAATATTGCACCAAGTAATGGCGAGAGGAAAAAACTAGACAGTATACATTACATTTGAAATTAATAATGAATGAATGGTAATAAATTGGTGTATGTTTGTATGTATACCAGACAAAGTCCATTTAATGGCAGAATTTAGCCATTTTGTGTAAAAACTTTTATATCTCATATTATTAATTATAACAGTAATCGAAAAAAGTCATAGTTTGTATATACAAGAGATGAAACAGAGCCATGAGCTAGAGCGATGTGCTGAGTCCATAAGGAGGCGGAGCTTCCAGAAATACCGTCCTGTGATTGGCTGTTGCTGGGAATACCAACACTCTTTTTATGAATAAAATTTAAACTAAGAAATAGGTCCTTGTGCACAACAACAAGGTTGTTGTGAAAAAGAACAACAATTTCTGTTTTGCACTTGACAGAAATCTCCATTTAACTGAATAATTTACTCGAATAAGAGGGCAGAGAAGTGTAGCATCATTAGTGTTAAGACAACCCCCAATAATAACGTCACAAGTTAGGTAGCCATGCAGCCCATTTTTATATAACATCTGTTATATCCTGCAATATTTAATTATCACTATATTTATTAACACTTCATTTTTTTTGGGTAAATTAAAGTTAAAGCAGAATTCCATAAGCAGGACTGGTGGGCTGACCTAAGATGATTTACTAAGTGGATGGCACCTATAGCTGATCCCTTCCTGTGATTGGCTGTTGTGTGAATGTCAACAAAGAATATCTACCAATGATATGCCATTTATTATGCACCCCATACCATTGTGGGCGGAGCTTGGAACCTCCTACCCGAGCACAACAACTCGCCTTATGGGTTGCTGTTTGGCTATTTATAGTGCGTTGGAAAAAAACAGATGGCGTTAGTTGTATTTTGTAGGGTAATTTGTTATAAGTGTAATTTGATGTCAACAGATGGCGTAAGCTGTACCTTATGGCTACTGTTGACCTGCCAGTTGATAGTGTTCTCTTCTGCCGACAGATGGCATCAGCTGTATTATTATTATTTTAATAATATTATTACATTAATAATAATGTATTATTATTACTTTAAACACTGATCTATACGTCTGGTAGCTTATAATAAGGCTTTTATACCAATGCTGGTATTAGGTAACTAGAATTCTGCAATTACTTTTTTTATCTACTGTTGAGGATATGTAAGACAAATGTAAGGTTTTGAGGCTAAGTAACGAAGATAGTTATAAGATACGAGCCAGATGGTGTTGAGATTGCAGAAGGGATTATGATAAAAACTTAAGCCAAAAAATCAATCCATAAATGTACGCAAATATGAGACTGGGATTTATTTCTCGTAAAGTTAGCAATAAAATACGCTTTCTAGGGATTCTGTCTAACGAAGCTGCAAGCTAAAACACCGTTATCCTATAATGTTCATCTGTAGCTTGACCCTAAATACTCGTTTATTAAACGAATTTATTGTACGAGTTCATTAGGAATCAACGTTATTGAAGGCAGGGTTTCCAACAAATACCTTCCTGTGATTAGCTGTTGCGGGGAATGCCAACGCTTATATGAATAAAATGTAAAATAAGAAATACGTCCTCTTGCTCAATAACCTTGTTGTTGTACAAAAGAACAACAATTTCTGTTTTATACAAGACAGAAATTTCCATCTAAGCGAATAATGTAGAGCAATAAGAGGGCGGAGGCATTGTATCGCCGATATTATTTGTGTGAGGCAACACCCACTGATGACGTCACAAGTCAGGTAGCCAGCCCATGTTTCTGTAACACCCGTTACATCCTGTAGTATTTAATTATCACTATATTAATACTTTTAAATAGTTAACATTTCAATTTTTAGTTAGATTAAAGTTGAAGCAGAATGTCATAAGCAAGGATGGTGTGCTGAATAAAGATGATTTATTAAGTGGATGGAGCCTTTAGCTGATCCCTTCCTGTGATTGGCTGTTGTGTGAATGTCAACAAAGAATTTCTACCAATGATATTCCATTTATTATGCACCCCATACCATCTTGGGGCGGAGCTTGGAACCTCCTACCCGAGCACAACAACCCGCCTTATGGGTTGCTGTTTGGCTATTTATAGTGCGTTGGAAAAAAACTAGATGGCGTTAGTTGTATTTTGTGGAGTAATTTGTTATAAGTGTAATTTGATGTCAACAGATGGCGTAAGCTGTACCTTATGGCCACTGTTGACCTGCCAGTTGATAGTGTTCTTATCTGCCGACAGATGGCATCAGCTGTATTATTATTATTTTAATAATATTATTACAGTAATAATAATGTATTATTATTACTTTAAACACTGATCTATACGTCTGGTAGCTTATAATAAGGCTTTTATATTATGCTGGTATTAGGTAACTAGAATTCTGCAATTACTTTTTTTTATCTACTGTTGAGGATATGTAAGATAAATGTAAGGTTTTGAGGCTAAGTAACGAAGATAGTTACAAGATACGAGCCAGATGGTGTTGAGATTGCAAAAGGGTATGATAAGAACTTAAGCCAAAAAATCGATGCATAAATGTTCGCAAATATGCGACTAGGATTTATTTCTCGAAAAGTTACCAATAAAATACGCTTTCTAGTTCTTTACTTTTAAAATTAAGACCAGGGATTCTGTCTAACGAAGCTGCAAGCTAAAACACCGTTATCCTATAATGTTCATCTGTAGCTTGACCCTAAATACTCGTTTATTAAACGAATTTATTGTTAGAGTTCATTAGGAATCAACTTTGTTGAGGCCAGAGTTTCTAACAAATACCTTCCTGTGATTGGCTGTTGCGGGGAAT